AGTTTGTCACGACTTATCGAGGTCGTTTCTCTAAACAAGACTCCCATATGTGCCCCTGGAATATGCTATAGTTTTGGTTAGCCAGTTCAAGTCTAAAAGACACAAGTTTACAATGTTTTAAACTAATGCAATAAAAAGAAAGGGGCGTTTATTTGTTGATAAAGGTGAGTTTTGGTGTTTGATGAGACCATAATCTTGGTTCAAACAAGTTTCGCCATTGCCGGTTTGCGTTCTACCCAAGAGCATCATCCTTCCGACATTTTCAATAACAAAAGGAAGACCCGCGATCGTCCAAAAATTGAAAATAATCCTTGTACAATAGGCTAATACATCTGAGCAATACTAAGTATCAGAAATGTTCATATGAAGGTAAACGCATAAATTATACTAAATCATGACGGTTGATTTAAATAAAAATAATATAATTAAAATAAATAGCATTTGTATAGCACATAGTCCCACTTTAGAGCAAGCTCTACGGTACCCCACGCTGTAGACCACGCTGTACACCCAAAACACCCAGAAACATTCTCGGCTTCCAGGGGTGCACTTCTTTTAATTAAGCATAATTATTATTTTCTTATTAAGTGGGGCGAAGATCTATTGGCCTAGGCTTGAATTAAACTACATTGTGGATCTGCGAATTTATAAGTCTGTGTTCTGCATGACAAACTGGCATAGCCCAATGAAATATTTAAATTAGGCCAGCCCGCGAACGTGACGTCAGCCAGCAGACGACAGACGAGAGTGGGGGAGGGCTATACCCACGAGGGAGGAACAACTGCAATCATTTCCCGAGCCTTTTGTCGAGGAGTCTGCATGTTGCTCGTAAACTCAAGCCTTTTGTCGAGGAGCCTGCATGGTGCTTCGTGGACTCATGATGGTGATAAAACATGTTGATGGATGCACAAGCTGTTCAGGTATGTGGTTAATCTGTAGTTTGTCTTGATTTCATTTTAGCAAAAACTTTCCTGACTTGATTGTTACGATGGATCTCAGACATCAGAGATCATGGTTCTCCGTATGTTTCCTATGCTAGTCTAGAATATTCCCCTCTCGGATGCTCTCAAAATTCTCACGCTATCCTGACGTTTCCCCGCCACTCATCTGTTCAGCTTTTCCTTGTATTTCTCTGGGGTTGCCCCTGCCTTGTTTGCCATCTGTTTGCCAGCGAGAGCAAGATTTGTAAAGCATATTCGTTGAGTCCACCAAGTATCATAGAAAGCGTAGATCTAGATTTCTAGATCATCTAATCTAGATTTCTAGATCTAGAATCTAGATTAGATTATATCTATATATATAATGTAGATGTAGAGTCTAGATTAGATTCTAGAGAGATTTAAATTATCTATTCTAGATCTAGATTTCTAGATCTAAATCTAGAGTTCTCTCCCC